AGAGGAAAGAGTAGGATGAATCTCTGAGGAGGTCAGATCATGAAGAAGGTGGAGGACTAGAGAGATACAAAAGACCATCAAAGGCAGCAGTGAGGAATACCTGGTCTGGAGGGCAACGGGGTAGCAGAGGGGGATTTACAGCGCAAAGATCCCTGCACAGAGATTCATTAAAACTCCAGCAAGCATGGCTACAGCGCAAAGTATCCATGAAGGATTCTGCAAAGCAGTCCTGTTGCTGCTGCTGCCTGTCTGAATGCCTCAGATGGCCATGCTGGGGTGGCCTGTGAGCATGCAGAGGGGTGCAGCTGCCTGTGACGTGAACGCCACTCGCAGAGTTACTCACTAGTAACTGCAGTTCCCTGAGCGGTCTTGGACACGCGCCCTTCACCTCTCAGTCCTGCACCCTATTGAGTTGCTGCAGCTGAGAGGAACATAGGGTGTGCCCTTCCCTCCCCATCTATGCGCAGGCCACATGGGAACACGAGGCACGGGAACACCCGCAGGGGCCACAAAGAGAGCCCAGGCATGGGGGTCACAGGCCTGGAGTCTGTGCGCACCCACAGGGCGAATGGGCAAAAAGACAAACACTCGAAGCAGAAAACAACTGAGCTATCACTTGTCATGTCACTAAAAATCACTAAGGTGATGCACAAGGCTTAAAAATTCAGATTTCTCTTTTAATAATTTTCTGACTTTTTTAGCTAATCGAGCCCCCCAGCTTCTTCCCCACTCCTGTGCCACTAAAGCTTAGACAAGAAATTTCAGAAAATAGATGCTGGCCATACAAAAGCCCACAGAACCGGAAAACAACCCAAACCACCCCATATAACTTGGGGAGGGGGAAGGGTACCTAGTGGGATGCTTGTTGGCTTCCCCCACACTCAGGTGCTGATTGCCATCTTTTTTCCATGCTGTCTGTTCAGGCTGTAAGGTTTTTGCAGAGAGGGCATCTGCTCGCACATTTGTGCATGCCCTGATCCCAAGCAGGTCCCGGGCGAGCCACAGATGAGGGAACGAAAACCAGACCAGTGCTCCGAAAGGAGAAGATGGCTGCTCAGATCCAGTACAGCAGGGCAGAGAGTTGCAGTGGCATCAGGATTTCATTTTGGAGAACTGGATCCCTCTAGTGAAGCACTCGGTGCAGCCTCAGCACAAAAAGATGAGAGCTACTAGCATTGCTATTCTACAGCCCTGGAGTTTGCACACAGATCTTAAGAACAAATACGAAAGCTTTGCTTCCAGGCAGGAAATCCCTTTTACCACACCTTTCTGATTTACACCGATGCTTGATACACACCACATGTGTCCCCTCCTTCCCTCACCCGCGTTTGCAATGGTTCTGTTCCATATTTAAGTGATGAAAAGTTAAGACCTGTGGTTACAACCTCTATGAGAAGCTTCATTTTGAAGGGCTGCTACATTTCAACTTTATTGCCACGAGGAAAACTGAAAAAAACAAAAGCTTTCAGTCCTTCCCTAACATGAAAGCTGTTGTGAAGCCATTTAATAAGTCTAAGTTCTCTCCTGCAAGTTGTTGAAATATTGAAAGCAGGAAAATTTATTCCTACAAAAGTTTTGTATGAGTCCCATCTACAATTTTATGCACTACACTTAATTTCTTCTGTTCAAGGTGGCTGCGGCAGGTTTGGTCAGCATTTTCTCCTGAAGCGCATCTCAGTAGGCAGAGCTTACAACAAACCCTTCGCCTGAGATTTGTTACGAGGAGAAGAAAAGCAAGGAATAACATCGGGATTGCTCCGGCTAGAAGACCAAGAGAAAGATGGAGCACGCAAACTCACCCACCTGCCTGCGTGTGGGAATAGAGGGACATTCATCTTGATGAGATCAGATGTTACGTGGGGGAACAGCAGGAGCGAGAGCCATCAGAAAACTGGCAAATGCGTCTGCTTTTTCCATTCAGCACTGTGCTGCTGACTAGATCTCTGCAAAACTTCCTCTGTTCCACAGATCTACCCACTGGGATCTGTCTGGCATTAATTGGCCTTCAAAATTACTTATGGAAATATCTTCAGCTAATTTTTATAAGCCATTGAGTAAGAAAAGAAAAAGGTTTTTTTAAATAAAAAAAGCAAGAGCGAAAAATCAATAAATTCTTGCATGCGGACACGGTGTTCTGCTTCCTAAAATAAATGCCTTAGGACGGAGACTTGGCCCTGACTTTTCTACGAAGTTTCTTTATGAGAATTAAAGGCCGCAAAAGGTGAAAGCCGCCTGTGTAGCGGAGGACCGCTGGGGCGGAGAGCGGAGTCGCGGAGAAGAGGGCAGCGGCGGGA